CCATAAGTTCCCAGTGCAGCCCCCACCATCCCCCCCCTCGATGCAGCCCACGCAATTCCCCACCCACAACGTCTCCCTGCTGCAGCCCACCCAATCTCCCCACGCACGCGTTGCCCCCGCACAGCCCCCACGCCCCAGGGTTTGGTGGGCATCAGGTTTGTGTTCGCTTTGCCTCTGGTTCACGCTGGATGGACTGACAGACACCGGGTGTGTGTGCGTGTGCGGTAGGTGTGCGAGGAGGCTGTTACTGTACCCGTGTGCTCCTGTATCGCAGGTGAGTTGCGGTGGGTCTTGTTTGGATGCTCACAGTGGCTTGAAATTTCAGTTGCTCCGTGAGGGCTAATTCAGTCTCGGCAACTGCGACGTGTAGTGGAAGGAGGGTTTTGGAAGAATGTGTGCGTGAGTGGGTTCTGATGAATTGTGATCCGGGAAGGGGACTGGAGTGGTTTCAGGGACAGCTCTGTGAAAGCTGCCTGGAACGCCACGAAGCTGTCAAGAGTGGGAGGAGGAGGAGTGGGAAATCTAGATGAAATGCTGAACATGGTTCCCCCTTACAGAAAGTTTGAAATTGTTCTTGCCACATAAGGAGCTTGAGCAGGAGTAATTATTGAAGACATCGACAGGCTTCCCCAGAGGGAAGACTGTTTACCTCCGTTGAAGAGAAAAATAGAAGGTATTGATCAATAATAGAGCGAAGGCTAACAGGATGAATAGAGATGTCTGTTTCCTATCCTGCAAGGAAAAGACAACAATCAATGAAAATGTAATAAAGCATACATACTGCTAACAAAGACTTGGCTTTTTTAACACAATAGTTAACTGTTCCATTGAACTTGTGTTGCTGGAAGTTACCCTTGAGTCTGAGAGCTTAGCAGCCTCCTTAAAAGGGATCGGAGATTTCTCTAGAAGTGTTCGTGTTATTCGGGTTCCTAATACTAAAGGTTTGTGTTTGTATGGTACTTCAGGAAAAAATGACCTCTCACACTTTTAGGATGTTGGCTGAGTACTAAACAATAGGGCTTTAGGGAGAGCTTTTCTTATGGTGAAGGTATTCCACAAAGGCCTACTTCAGGCTTTTTTTCACCATTGTCCCCAGGAAAATGGGCTTGGAATCTGCTCTGGTCTAGTGGAGCAGTTTTTAAGTCCTTAATACCATCATTGTTATGGTTGCGCTGTAAACCTTAAGTGGCATGTGTGCAGCAGGTGGCTACCTCTGCATCTGGAGCAGAAGTGATTCAGTCTTGCTGTAAAATGATCAGGAAAGCATTGCTGCTGAAGTCAGTGTTTCTAACCAGTTCGGTGGTGTGGAAAGATGTTTTTCGTTGTGTTCTGCTCAGGTCTCTGCAATCCGTTCAGAGTGCTGAACAGGTTGTGTTTTGGAAATGTGGGGCAAGCGGAAGAGTGCCTCCCAGTCACTTGGGCATCTTTTGTACTTTTATTTGTCTGTCTCCTTGGGACACGTGGCAGTTAGAAGGGGAAGGTCCTTAGACGTGCACAAGCTGGTCAGAAAATAAAGTTCAGCGTGACTAGCTGGTTTGGCATAACGAAAGCATTCTGAGCTGGATGGTTTCTAACGATTTGACAGAATCCAGCTAGAAACCCGCCTTGTTCTCTGTCAGCTGGTTTGCCTGTTTGCTGGTAGCAGGCTGGGGGATGAGCTTTTGCTCAGTTGTGGGATTAGGGTTCTTTTCTTCTTGTGGATAAAGGAGGGGGGGGTTGTTTGTTTTTTTTTTTTTTTTCCCCCCACTCAAAATAACTTTTAAAACACCTTTCTCCCCACTAAAAATGTCAGTCCCTTTCTCTATTCAGTTCTACTGCTGAGTTAACTAAAACATCTAATAATCATGTTTTGACTCAAGACAACAACCTTTTAATTTCCGTGTGATGGAACTTACCCTTCATCCCTCCTCCCTTCCTGTTTTGGGTCTGTGTTTAATTGGCTTATGTTTGCAGCGATGGAGATGAGCTCCTGCCTGCTCCTTCTAGGAGAAATGCCTGTTTCATTTTCCAGCAGCTCAAAGGATATCTTTAAGCTCTTGCAGCAATGGCTGGTGGGAGCAGTGAATTCCTCAGGAGGTATTTGCTTTTTGGTCCTAATTGCTTCAAGAGCCCAGTGTTGCATTGTTCAAAGTATTGAAGGTTGAGGTAAAATATGAAGTTGCAAATCAGACTTGTTGATTCTGAAGGGCTGCTGCTGTGACTAGTTTTCACAGGGTTTTCAGGCTAAAATTGAGGAAACCAAGATTATAAAGCAGCAGTAAATGTACAGGTTGGGCTGTCTGCAGAATCAAAAGGATAGTACAGCCTCAGAGAAAAATTGCACTTAACCTTTGTACAGTAGAGCCTTCCTAGGACAAGACTGCTGCTAGCTGTCTGTGTAACAAAGCTGCTGCATGTTATTTTGAACAGCCAGGGCTGGGGACAGAAGCTTTTCTCTGTTTCAGACCTTGTGATTGATGGCACTCGTTGAGGCCCTGGAAAATTGAGGTGGTGTAGAGAATAGCGTCGTGTTTGGGTTTTGTGTGCTGACTTGCCCATCTGTTCGCTTGAAGCGGTGCGTGTGTTGTGTGCTGTTCTCGCTTCTTCCCAAACTCTTTGGGGTTTGCTTTCTTGTGGTGGCAGAGCGGTTTCCTGCCAAAACATTGCACCCTACCAGAACACTTGGGGCTCTGAAAGCAGTTTGACACTGTGATAAGATGGATTAAAACACTTAGCTAAAATAACTGTAAAAGATGATAGCGCTTGGACTGGAAGCACCCTTTTGAAAAGGTTTTTGGTGTTTCTTCTTTCTTTTTCTTTCTTTTTAATTCTCCCCCCGCCCCACCCCTTATGGACTACTTTGGGAGAGAGCAACTGGACGTGTTTTCAGAGCAGCAATTCCCCGGGAAGGGTTTGAAGGTGAAATTCTGCCAGCTGAAGCACTGAGCTGCAGCCACCCTCCAGAGGTCTTGCCGCAGAGTCTTCCTCCTCTAGGAAGAGGCAGGGGACTGGAGTACTTGCTTATAGCCAGGCTCTCTGTAGTCTTTAAAAATCAACTCAACCTCTGTGGGGTTTTTGTTTGTCATGGTGTAACATGTCTGGGAAGGCAACAGAGCAAGCTGTGTCCGCGAAAATGCAGTGTATAGGCAAGCTGCCCAGGAACCTTGCTTTATCTGGGTGTGACTAGGTCTTTATAGACCCTGAGGGGCATAATTTACAGGAAACCTGAAGAGGGAAATAACTTACATGCTCTACAGGCAGCATTGAATATCCTTTAACCCATAGAGTACCTGGATATTTGTCTCCCCACCCTCAAGTCTGTCTCTGGATTGAAAGGATGGGAATACTGCTATTATCTTACAGTCACAGTGGCTGGGAGTCTGATGATACTGACAGGATCAGCTATTTGAGAATGTTGTATAATGGAGAGTGACAAAGAGCGTAGAGAGATGGTGTCACGGCCTCAAATTTTTTGTGTCTAATCCGAAAGCGTTCCTCTCTGCCTGGGTATGTTCTACATCCGGCCCCTGATCAACTCTGTGACAAAAAGGTAAAAAAAACCTGTCTCTGGTTCAGCAAAGAAAATGATTGCAACATGTCATCTTGTGCAGCAGTGAGGCTTTGAGAAAGAGATGAGATGAAATAATACCTTAAAAGCTGACCTTGCTGGCCTGTTGTTCCCTCCCCAGGCTGTGAAACATGACATGGATGCTATTGGAGGCTGCTGAGCTGATTGCTTGGGAGCTTGCAGTTGCCTGGTCATCTCCAGCACAGATACAGCCCAGGCAGCAGTAATGTAAGTAGCTGTGCCTCTGTCCAGGTTACTTAAAATGAACCTGGACAAGCTGGTCACCTGAGGAGGCAGATTAGAAGAGAGTGAATTTCTTTTCATGGCTCACCACATCTTGCCTCCTTGCCAGTTTTGCTAGGAAGGGCTGGTTAGTGGTGGGTGAAGCTATTTGCAGCTAATTGTCCCATGGGAGCTGGGAGTGACTTCTCCTCCTCCAAACTCTCCTGACTTTCAGACTTTCTTTCCCCTGTCCCAGTGGCTTTGTGATGGCACTGATTTTACAGCAGAATTTTAAGCTAGAAGTTGTTCATATAAATTCTCATTTAGGCAACTTCATCCAACTAGGTAATTTAATGTTACAGTGTCTGGAAAAATTGGGTTGAAGTTTTCTCTTTTTTTTATTTTAAGCACACACCCTCTCAGGTGGATGCTTGGTGTGCCGCTTTCTGTATAGAGAAAATGCATTGCTGTTTCAGACTTCTGGGATAGAGAGTGGGGATTTCATAATCGCCTCAAACTGTGTTTTAGTAGCTGTTGGCATCTGTCAGCCTCTAACAAACGGTATTGGCAACTTCTCTGCAAACCTCTGTGGTCAGCTTTGGTGCTGAGTCAGGAAAGGGTGAGCAGCTTCTAGCCGCTCCTGTGGTGTAAGTAGCCTCTGAAAGAGGATGCTGGGCAACGTTTTCCTTTCTGATGCTGTTTCTACTTGCTGTGCTTTAGCCAGCAAGGGTGAGAATGGTTTCCTCCCCCAGGCATTGCTCTCTGCCTGTGAGCTCCCAGAGGTAACTTTTCTGTAAGGAAAATGCTGTGCCTGGGCTCATTCTTTAACTAGCAAAGCTGTAATACTGATGTGTTTAAGGCTTGGCATTTTTGTGTGGGCAGGAACTCTCCTCTCCCAGGAGTTCAGGAATACAAAGCTCCTAATTCTGCTTCTAAAAGTTTGCATCTGTAGGATTTTTATTTTTCTTGATGGAGTAGCAGGGCAGGAGAGAAGTGTGGAGAGGGCAGTGTTGAACAGGACTAATGAAATTAGGAGTTGGTGATTTTTGGAATTAACAAGAGGATGTTTGTATATTATGTCCAGAGTTTAAAAAAAAAAAAAAGCAACAACCCACAAACAAAAATAAGCTGATCATATGTTGTTTTAGCAATAACAGAATGGCTTCATATTGAGTGGCTTTGGGTGCTTTGTTGAGAATCGCTGTTTTTACTTCTGCAGTGCTCATCACTGCTACATATTTGCATCAGAGAATGATTGCTAGGGAAGTCAGATGTGCCATCTCCCTCGTATGCATCACTGCACAGTTGCCTAGGCTTGTGATAAGATGTCTGGCTTCTTCCAGCACATTTACTTGCTAAATTTAAGTATGGATCTGATCTGATTGATTCTGTATGTTATATTTTGTGTGGAAAAATATGCTCCAATATGAAAAAACCTCCCTTTGTGTGTGACTGCCACAAGTTCACTGGCTTTAGATCCTGCTGTAGAGTTTGACTTCTGGCTCTCCTTAGAGTAACTGTATACCCTGTGGCAACTTTAAACTGTTGCCTCCTCTGTCTTGGTGCTTGGAGGTGGGGAGGGATGAATGCAAGTGGTGGTAGAATAAGTTCTGATTTGACTTTGTTCTTGAGTATGTGGAAAATGAAATGCAAACTTCCTCTGTCATGCCAGACGCAAGCGTTTACAACACATCCTTTTTCTTGTTGTCTCTTTCCCCTCTGCCAGTTGCAGAATATCTTTGTAGTCTTTCTGTGTTTCTCCCCTGGGAGCAGGGGGCTTGACTAGTTTGTGTGGAGTGGGGCTGCTGGGAATATGGGAAAGGGATGCAGCGCATGGCCCAAGTGTGGTTGAAGGAGCGGTTGGAAGGTTGGAGAACATCCCCTCTCCTCCTCTCCCTCCCCCTTTCTCTTTTTCCTCTCCCCTTCCAAAAAAGGCACTGGATGTTGGATGTTGACCTATCACAATGTGGGTCAGTCCACAAAAAAAAAAAAAAAAAAAAAGGGAGGAGGAGGAGGATGGGGGGAGGAGGGCTGTGTGAGTACAGCGGGACAACAGAAATTAATAGAGCAGAAAAAAACTCTGGAAAGAAGAGTGCACGGCTCAGGGTAAAAGGGTTTTATTGTTGATTCTGAGTTTTTAAATGGGTGCATGGGGAGGGGAAGCTGTTCTCTCTTCAGATGACTGTGTGTGGATTAGCAAAATGGGTGGGGGCTGTGTGAGCTGGAAGTGGAGAAGACTTTTGTGGTATTCTCAGAGTTTAATTTCCTTAAGACGAGAAAAAAAAGTTGCATGGCCTTGTTGAAGGTTAAATTGTTTGTGTGTATGGTATGCTTTTATATGTACGTAGGCATGTGATCATCTCTTGAATATGGCTTAGTGGGTGTGTACCTTGCCCTGTGGTTTGGTCCTCTTAAGTGCCTGACTCCTCTACCTTCTGCTTCTCAGGCTAATGGTCTTCCTGCTCTGCTCATGCTGACGCTACTGGTTTTATGTCCCAGTGACACTTTTCTCTTTTTTCACTGACTGTACAGATAGCTGTTGTGAAAATTGTGACCGGGCAAAATGTCTTCAGCATTCAGACTGCTTTCTCCTCTGGAGAAATAACATTGTGAAGAACTACATTTGGATCTGAATTTGCTGTGCAGAGAGAGAAGTGCATTAAGCTGATATGAAGTGCAGTAACTGTAGATTCAAACACCGCGAGTTTTTGTAAATCTTGTTGAATGCCTGTCTTCTAGCTGAGCACAGTATTGCTCATGTGTGTTTGGAGTTATGTATACATGTGTGCCTGTGTATGAAGTGCGTGTTGTGAGGAGACTGTCGCTGACTTCGTGTTAAGAAAGCTTGGCCCAGCATGAATAGTAAAATGTAAATGAGTTGCACTAGCAAAAATTGCGTGCCAGATCACATACTTAACTCACAGGTTGTTTTGGGAGTGCTACTGGAGAGCTTAAAAATGCACTGTTGGAACCTTGTCAAGTCTCATAGCTAAGTAAACTAGATGCCACCCCAGAGAGCAAAAGCAATTTAAGAAGTAATACATCTAAAGCATTTGATTTTCTTTTATTGCTATAATTGATTTGAGCTGCACCAGTGACTGTCTTACTGTATAGCGTTACAATATTTTTGTGCTGAGACTCTACCTCATCCTTTTCCTACCTTTTGCCAGATCAGTTGGTGATGCCATGCCTTTGAGGGTTGAAAAGACCTTAAATCAATTATGAATATGCAATATATACCTAGCACAATGGAAAGAGTTGATCCTGTCTGGCAGTTCTAGGCATTCTTATAATTAAAATAGTCTAAAATAAATTTTGAACCATTTTGTGCTGTGTTTCTGTACTCCTTGTAAGTCTAGGGCATGTTCTGAAAACCATAAAGCTCCTGCTTTCACTAATGTAAAGCTCTTGCTTGTGTCCTAGTAGATGCAGAAAGTTCAGACTTAAAATCATCCACTGCATGACACTTCTGCATTGGTCTTTTGGGGTCCAGAATAAGGATAATTTAATGGAGAAACTCTTGGAGGAATAAGAATTTAAGAGGGGTGTGGAAAATGGTTTTGTGGTATCTTAAGAAAAAGAAAGTTCAGCATGGTGGATATTTAACACTATCGTAAGTGTGGAGTAGGTTTTAAGGAGGAACAATTTCTTGCCTTGTAGCTTTCCAGGAGAACCTTGCAGCCAGGTCACGCATGTTTTGTTGGATCATGTCTTGTACAGCAGGAGGCTTAGTTGTTAAGACTCTTTCATGGGATAGCTTTGTGTATCATTCGTTGCTCTCTCAGCAGTTTAGAAATGAAATACTTTTAGCCTCGGAGGAGATGATCTATTTTAAAAACAGAGATTGTGTTTGCAGATGGCAGAGAACAGCTTCAGAGTCATGTTGTTTAGGGTGCTTTGCGTACCGACACCAGGGCAAAGTGAGCGTGCTTTTGCCAGCAGCACAACGGAGTGGGTCTTGCTCAGAGCAGGCAGCCTGCTCCTCCTTTACTAGACTCTGTAATTGAATATGTGTTCAGAAGTACCCCTAGGAACTGAAGAACCAAGCTTGAACATTTCTTTCCTCCTCCTACACTGCTTTTGTTGCATCAGAAATAGGGTTTACGTATTTATGTTTGTAGCTCCTCCTCAGTGGTGAAATTTTCCATTTTTGGCTTGCGTAAAGGCATGAAGTTTTTTATTTTCACTTGTGCCACATCCCTTCTGTTTACTGTTCTGAGTTTATTTTTGGTGGAAGAAGCTGCCATGTTAATGTTAGAGACAGAAGGCTGCCTGTTTCCAAAAGATACAGGAAGGGCGATCTGCTCCTGATTGAGAATTACTGTGCTGCTGTTTTTCTGTGGACGCAGGCCCTGGGGACACATCCACACTAGCTTTACATCGGTGTCCCCATGCAGGTTGGAGCCCCTTCCCTATCAAGAATCTTGGTAACAGTGTTTTGCGTCTCTAGGTTTTTATCAGGATAGTTATCTTGATATAAACAGCACATGCTTTGCCTTACTTTCTTTTCTCCTCCTTGCATTGAGAGCAGACCCTAAGACTCCTGAAGTACTTTCAGAAGATCTATTAGGTAAGTTTCAGCTGGTACTAGCTTGGTGTTTAAGCTAATGCCCTAGCAGTACAAGGTCCTGTCTTGCTCTAATGTGCATAACTTGTAATGGCATCTGGGCAGGAACACGTAACAGCTCATTGGGGACGGGGGCGTCACCTCTGCCTTCCACGTTTGGGGTTGTCGGGTATAGACTTCATGCAGACCTAAGCCCTGTCCAGATCTCATGCAGCCCACATACAGGAATCGTACCAGCTGATCCAAGTTTCCTGCAGCCATCCTGAACTACACCTAAGCCTGCGTCCGAAAGCCCTGTGTGTTTACCCAGATGTACTTATCTGTGTGCGTGTTTCCATTTTCCAAAGTTTGGTGCTTTTCCTGGCTATCCGTTCTCCTGGTCCTGTTTGGCATGTGCTATATTGCAGGTTACCTCCGGGGGGAGCAAGGTAGTCAGCTGGAGATGGGGAAAGCTTCAAGAGTGAAATTTAGAGTGTTGAAATGTTTTCCTTTGATATATTTAGGAGAGCCCTCCAGAGAGGGAGAATAGGTGTGAAAGTAACTTTACTCTCCCTTGAAATGGAAGCAATGAGGTGGAGGTGAAAGAGATGGGCAGAGAAAACAGGATATGGCAGAAGAGTAAGGAAGTCTTCAAAATTTATTATGCGTTAGATTGGTTTGGTTTGTATTGCATTGGTAATTCAGGTTTCTAAATGTCCCTAATTTGCCATATGGTACTGTCAAGTGCCTTCCTCATGGTTTGGTACCTCGCGGTGCTGGGAACTGTACGGGCAGAGAACAAAAAGATGGTTGTCCCAAGGAGCTTAAAATGAGCAAGAAACAACAGAGAAATACAGCCAGCTGGGAGGAGTACACAGAAAAGAGATCACAGCCAGTAGCCTAACCATTGTCAGATTGTTGCACAGCTGGAGTAGCAAAGTGGGAGAATGGAGAAAATGGAGTTGAATATGAAATAGCTTTGTGGCTGTCGGAAGGGACGTTTTTCCCTGGGTGTGAGAGGAAGCAGGAAGGTATGTGTTGTGGCACTGACATGGGCTGTGGTGGAAGTAGGTGTCCAAGAAACAAGTATCAAAACACGTTCGCTGCCTCAGGTAAGAGGGAAGCTGCTCACACCAGGGTGCTCGATCTGTAGCTTGTCAAGGCAGTGTGTTTGCTGTGACGTGCCTCCAGGCACCATCTTTGCTGGAAGCCTGTTCTAATGATGTGCCGGGCTTGTGTCCCACTGCATGATGGGGAAGAGGCATCTCAGAAACAAGGCCTATTAAGAGAGTTGCCATAGCCTGCCCTCGTGATGCTCTTTTTAACAAGGCAAAAGAGGAGCTAGCAGTCTCTGAGCTGGTGGTAGTGAATGAGTCAAAATCCACTCACCTCGTTAAGGCTCTAATCATCTGTGCTATTATCTAGTTCTTAAATATATTACAGAATTGCTCTTACATCTTCAGCTTCTTGCATACAGTAGTCTTTCATCATAGCTTTGTGCACTGCTTATACCTGTCACTGTAGCAATGGTGTATGGGAGTTTAGGAGATTAGAAGGGATAATTTGGAAGACATATGTTAATTTTGCAGATTAGGGGAGTACAGTGTTCCTTCGTGTTTCACTAGCAAGGGTAATGAACTGCAAGCTGATGCTTACAACCACTAAAAAGCATCAACTGATTAAAAAGTTGTCCTCAGGGGCAACCCTGAGGAAGAGGGGGGTACTCATGGGTGAAGTGGACTGGGGTTTGGGGTAGGAGAAGTGGAGCCCTGGTTAAGAAACTTTGTATATTTTCTTCCAGAACACAGTGGTGGAAAGAGTTACTAGTTTCAATGACTGTGTCAATTAAAGGGGATTAGGCAAAGAATGATGCATAATCATGTAATTAATGACAGTTGATGTATAATCACAAGGGGGCAGTGTTAAGGTTACATACACAACTGGAACTTGTAAGTGTCCTTGTTTCTGAATACATAACCCTCGTCACGTCAAAATGCTTGTTGATCACTTTTTGCTGTTTCAGCTTCTTTTAAAATGAGTGCAGAATAAAGCAGAGGAATTCCCTTTAAGATCTTCAGTTCTGCTGACGTTACCCGCACTGCATTTGGGTCTGTGCTGTTGGTGCGGTTTGATTAGCTGGAGTGTGGAGCTCCAGGTCCTGTCCCTCCTGCCACTGGTGGTCTGCAGTAGAGATCTCCTCCGCCATGAACTTTAGGAAGGGCTTAGCAGCTTCCTCTCTTGCATAGCTCCCAAACTGCGCTGGGAAGTGCAGGATTGCAGCTGGCTGGACTATTTAGAGCTAAGTTAACCACAGGTGCATCTGCTCTGATTTCATTTTAGATGTACCCTTTGTGAGCTTAGTGGAAGTACTGTCAGCACTGTGAGTGTTCAGTCGCTTCAGAAGTCACTTGGGTAGAAACCCCTTTCTTCTTAAAGCAATAAAAAACTTTGCTACCTTGTGACATCTCTATCCAGCTTTCATCTCTCCAAATTTTTAGATAGAGTATAGATAATGTAATGTGTGCGCGTATGCTTTGAAACTCAAAACTTAACAGTTATATTTCCTGTACTGATCAGGACTGGAAAGGAATTACCCTTCAGTACGTGCAGTTATGGAAAGCTGTAACTCAGAGCAGGGATATTTTGGAAAAAGAACGACTGGAAAGAATGAAGAAAAGCCAAGTTTGATGATTATTTTGTAAATTAAACCATAACAGTTTTGCAGCTCCCTCTATAGCAAGATAGTATCTGCTTAAAAAAATCTGGATATTTCCCAGCATTTGTATTTGTTCTCTTCCCCCTGTGGAAGAAAGCAGAAATGAGGTGGAATGTGGCGTAAGTAACATCAGAGTGCCATGTACCACTGGTGCAAGTGTGTGGTTTGGAAAAGCATGTGCTGGAGGGGCCGTTTGCACACCTTAGTGTGCATGTGGAAATTATTTGCTTCTGGCCCTCTGTTTTCACTGAGTGCCTGTTTCCTGATTTGTGCTGTGGCTTCAGGTGAAGCAAGGCTGGGGCAGTTCATCTGTGGATGTATGTTCTCTTTTGTGTGACCTGTCAGTAAATGACAGACGTGTCCTTCCCTGCTGCAGCTGTAAACTGTGGTGATGGATAGTTGGTCTTTCTAAAGCCCCTTCCATCTGCTGATCTTAAAGGCCTGCATAAGAGCTACGTCTTGCACTTTTACAGAAAGGGTATCCCAAAAACTATTAGGAGGTTATCAGAAGGAGGCAATATTATGCTGTTCCCCTTGATAACCGTGTCTTTACTACAACTGCATCAGAAGCAGCTCTTCTAGTGGATAGAACCAATGGCTGCCTGCTTGTGATCTTGGTTTAAGTGGATTATCTTCCTCCAATCCGGAGGTCACATTAGAGCCTGCTTACAACCAAATTGAAAATAATAGCTGTTTTAGATCTTAGACCTTCAAGAATTCGTTCCATTGAAAGAAAATAGCTTTTCATCCAGGAAATGACCAAGGGTCATGCTGCTTTGAAATCTTGCATATCCTTGTGTTCTGGGTGTGTTTTCATGGGTCAACTGGCTTTTAAAAGCCAATCAGGTTAAATTCATGTCATGTAGAAAACAATGCTAAGTTAGTAGAATTAATGACAGGCTGGCTAAATGTACCGTGCCATATGATGTTTGATAAAAGCATCACTTTCATGCTCTTCTTTCTAGCAAGGAGAGCTTTTAGCACATATCCTTCCAGTGAAGGTGATTTGGGCTGAGTGTGGTTTTCAAAATGGCAGTAGGAGAGGTGGGGATTGTTTGCTGGATGCTCTTCTTTCCCCCTTGCTGTGCAGTGACACTTTGCGGTGCATATTCTCTTGCCTGCTGCTTCTTATTCTGCTGCCTTCCAGATGAAACCGTAAGACTAAGACTCTGGCTTTTCAGGACATTGCAGAATAGCCAGTGCTTTTGTGGAAAGTAGAGCTGTTAACTTAAGTGTGCCTGTTATCTTCCAGTATGGATGGTTGTCCTGGTTTTGGCTGGGATAGAGTTAATTTTCTTCCTGGTAACTGGTATAGTGCTATGTGTTGGGTTCAGTATGAGAATAATGTTGATAACACACTGATGTTTTCAGTTGTTGCCAAGTAGTGTTTAGACCAAGTCAAGGATTCTTCAGCTTCTGATGCCCAGCCAGCAAGAAGGCTGGAGGGGCACAAGAAGTTGGGAGGGGATACAGCCAGGACAGCTGACCCAAACTGGCCAAAGGGGTATTCCATACCATGGGATGTCATGCCCAGTATATAAACTGGGGGGAGTGGGGCTGGGGGGAATCGCTGCTTGGGAACTACCTGGGCATCAGTTGGCAGGTGGTGAGCAATTGCATTGTGCATCACTTGTTTTGTATATTACAATCCTTTTATTATTATTACTGTCATTTTATTATTGTTATTATTATCATTATTAGTTTCTTCCTTTCTGTTCTATTAAACTGTTCTTATCTCAGTCCATGAGTTTTACCTTTTTCCTTCCAATTCTCTCCCCCATCCCACCAGGTAGGGGGGAGTGAGTGAGCGAGCAGCTGCGTCGTGCTTAGTTGCTGGCTGGGGTTAAACCATGACAATGATTTAGATACTTCCTTCTGATCTCAGGTGAATGCTGCATTCATCTTGTTTTTAAATATTTTTATTGCAGAAGGGTGGTGACAATGGCTGTGGCAGTGTTTCATGATCTCAGGGAGGCTGTGTTGTGAGTGGCAGAGAGGTTCTGGAGTACCACATGATTGTTGTATCACGAGGGGTGGCAGTGGCAGACTTACCCGGGTCCTGTTCGTAAAGCATGTGAGCAGCCTGGTGAAAGGCATGTGAGAGATGCTAAGTACTGTTGCTGTTATGCTTCTGAGTCCTTCAGCTGGGTTCAATTGCTTTTTGGTTCTCTTCCTTGACAGGTCTTGGCTTGTGGGCGGCTCTCTAGCAATCGCAACTGGAACCTCACACCAAAAGGCACCATGATAGTGATGACTGACGTCACTGCAGCCCCCAGATTGGGGTCAACTGCCACCACTCCAGCTGTGGCTCCCAACTTCTCCTGGATGCCAGAGGATGGCAGCCCCACGGCTGTGGAGCAGCCAATATTTCTCATGACCACCGCTGCTCAGGCCATCTCAGGTTTCTTTGTATGGACAGCTTTGCTCATCACCTGCCATCAGGTAAAACCCTGTCACTTGTACTTCTCATCCTGTTCTTTTCCCCACATGGAGGAACACATATGATGCCCTGGCATATCTCTGCCAGATACAGCTGTGTGATGGGGATTTGCAAACTCCAGAGTGGTACCAGGACCTCTTCTTTGGGGTCTAATATATTATCTGTGCTGATCAAGGTGGCAACTTTTATTTGAAGGCCTTTTTCTGCCCAGGTTCAGACTGTTTCTGTAGTGTGAATGAAGAGGAAGCAAACTCTTTAAAGTTAGCAGGTGTAAAATATTTGGCCATCTCTTGAGTGTATGCAGAAAGGTGTATTATCTCAAGATATCCTTTCCCAGGTCTTGTAGCTGAATCTAGCCATTTTATTATTGTGTCAGCTGTTAGCTAAATGATCCTGGTCATCTGTTGTTTGACATAACTTCCTTTGATCTCCTGTGCCAGTAGATTCCACAGGCTGAACTCCGCTGCGGAAAGGAGTAGCAGGAAATGTTTTATTTCAATTTTTCTCCCCTCCCCTCTTTCTGGGGCAGATGTCCTGGGAGCCAGAACAAGTCAAGCCCTGCATCCTGTTCTGTACCTCTCTTTCATGCGGTTGTCATGTGAACTGAAAAACACAGTGGGGGAAATGCAAGCCCTGTTATTTATCAACCTGTGTTTTGTACCTGTTGGTCTGTAGATTCCAGAGTGATGACTAGGATCTAGAAAACTACAGCCTATTGATGGAGTACCGGGGCTAGTGAAGTTCAAAAATGGATTAGTCACTGATGAATAAGAGTAACACCTGCAGTTTCACCAGCTTGGGTAACAATTACAAGTTCCATGGATCCTCCTGCTTCAGAGCACAAATTGATTGCCTACTGAGGGTAGGAAGAGATCTTTCCTCTGCAGTATAGCATTACACACTTAGGCATTAATGCCTTTCTCTGGAGAAACCAATGGAGGTCAGTGCCAGAGAGACACTGTTGATTGAAATGCGCTGTTGTCCTGTTACAAGGCAGCAGTTTCTGTGCTCTTGTAGGCGCATGGATTGCAGGGCTCTTGTGACATCCCAAGGGCAAAGCTTAGAGTCATCTGAACTCCAGTGTCAGCTGTCCCTGTGCTGGGTGAGGTGTGTCACTGGGATTGTCACAAGGAAAAAATATCCCTAAGGCTTGTTAGTTTATTTTCAACCTGTTCTCCTCAGGAAATGAGGCTTTCGTGAGCTCCTTGTGGGACAGGGAAAGGAAACAGAAGTATTTTGAGCCCTTCAGTAATTTTGGCCAGATCTGGCCAAGAGGCAGGGAAAGATGAGCAACAGACAACTGGGAAGAGACAATCCCCTGTCCCTTATGAGAGAAAAGTTAGAGCATCAATGTGTGCGTTATACCTTGGAGAATCCTCACAGCACCTACAAATGGAGGGTGAAGTTTCAGACAAATGCTTGCTCCTCTTCAGGTAGTAAAATCAGTCAGTCGTGAGGCATGTATGTAATAAACTAGCTGTTATTAATCCCAGCAGTTGGGTCAGCAGCTTGATGAGGGTTGTCGTACGGAGGCCTTGCCTCTGGAGAACGTGCCCTCTGCTGACTCCGTGGCCAACAGAGCGTACCTGCAACTCACGCCGAAGCTCTGGACGTGTTATTAGGCCATCGCAGGAGTAGTGCTCATCTTTAGGGTATGCTTGTGGTCAATACCTTTCCCAGGAGGTGGGTATTCTGTGAAAAAGCATTTTAGGTGTAGGATTTAATGATGGCTAACAAACTGTGAGCAGTGGGAGTGGGTAGGGTGGGGATGTTACAGTCCCCTCAGCCAGTGACTTAGGGGGATTGGCATGTGTGCAAGGAGTCAGGCAAAACAAGCGGTGTGGCTGCGTGGTTCCTTTGAGCACAGTGCATGAGCTTGATGCTCACTTGATGGATGACGCTTTGTGGCTGTGCTGTCACCGATGTGCAGAATGTCACTTTTTTGAGCAGGCGGGCTGTGGCTTATCAGCTCTTGGCAGTGCTGTGAAGGGCTCTCTTAGGTTGTTTCAGGTGAAAGTCTTGAAAGCATCCAAAACTGCCAAGAGAGTGAGAGTGTTTACAACGAGCATGCGCTTAAGTGCATGCTCCTTCCCTCTTCAGAGAAAAGCAGCCTGCAGTGTTGCAAATCGTAGGTACTTAAAACAGGGTAGCAGGAATATAGGAATGATAATTGGAAATAAAGGTATGAACAAAAGAATATGGTCGAGGCGGTGATAATAACAGTAAATTAATTCGCTGTAAGAAACTAGATTAGAAATGCCTCTGCTTCCTTTCCCTCCTCCTTCCCCCTCTCTGAAAACTAAGGGATGCTATGTCAATGCCATGTGATAATTGCAATTTTTCTTGTTGTTGTTGTTATGTTCATCACCTTGAGGCTGCTGGAGGCAATCAAGAGGTGATTTACTGCGTTTGTTTTTCCTGGCCCAATTGACTCTCCAGTTCTACTTTCTCCTCTCTACTCCATTTACCACTGATCCTGGTCTCCCCTCTCCATCCTCTCAGATCTACATGCATCTTCGCTGCTATAGCTGCCCAAATGAACAGCGCTACATTGTTCGGATCCTCTTCATTGTGCCCATTTACGCCTTTGACTCATGGCTCAGTCTCCTGTTCTTCACCAATGACCAGTACTATGTTTACTTTGGCACAGTGCGGGACTGCTATGAAGGTAAGGAGATGTCAGATAAAAAATGGGGGAGGTGGGAAGCGTCTGCCCTGAGGGAACTTTTGCTTCTGCTTGGGAACATGGAGAAAGCATCACTGTCACCTACTGAGACAAAGCTTTATGGTGTGCCTCACTGGATGACCATGGCTTGCTCAGTGACTGAAAAATCATAGACTCATAGGATGGTTTGGGTCGGGAAGGACCTTTAAAGATAGTCTAGTGCAACACCCCTGCCATGGGCTGGGACATCTTTCACTGGATCAGGTTGCTCAAAGCCCTGCCCAACCTGACTTCTCTCGCTGGCCTCTGAACATGACAAGATATGTTGAGCCTTCCCTCCAACGTTCTGTAGAGACAAAGCTTATGATTTTCTTGGGTCCTTTGCTTCAGGAAGGTGCAAAGCCAAAAATCTGATTCTACCTGGGTGTTACAAAGCAAAGTATTAGTTAGCTCCTGGCTCTTCTAACAGCACTTACTCAGCAGCCAGACGCTTGCTTTGTCCTGTTTTCCTGGTGCAGTTTGTTAGCAACGTATTCTTCTGGTCCTATCCTGTGGCTGCTTGTGTGCTTGCACAGGGTAGCACAGCCACCATGTGCTGGGGTTGGTGAGGTGTAAAGTGCTTTGGAGTCCTGCAGGAGAGAGGGTACCATGTTCAAGATGAGTTACAGATTGGTTTGGTTTTGGTTATCTGTTGCAGATAATACCACTATTGTTACTGGGGTATTGCGTATTGTCTTGTATGTAAGGGAAACAGCTACTCCCCAATAAATGCTATCTAAACTTCCCTCCTGATCTCATCCAGAAAGAAGTCTCTACTCACCCAGCAGGAGAAGCTGCACTCTAGCAGTGTATTTTTGAGAACAGTTTATTGCCATACCCTTGTTAAATCATAACTCATTGGTGCAGTTGTTCTGGTGAGATCTGCATTGCAGAGATGTGCCCCTGGCCATGTGAAGAAGTTAATCAGCTGAAGGGACCAGCATGCCCTCCTTCACATCCACGACAATGCTCTGAGATGCAGCAGCAGATGGCAAGCAAACGTGCACACGTGATTCAGGAGGCATCTTTGTTTGGGCCTGGTTTTTTTTCCTTCCCTGCCCTGTGTGCGTGTGTAGGTCTAGCAGGAAGCCTGCTGCTCTGTAAAACTCCTCTCCTAGCAACAGCCAGTATCCCTCTGCCTCGCTTGCTCGGGGAGTTTGCAAACATCCGAGCGTCTGCTCAGGAGGCAGCCCGTGCTCCCACCTCAGCACATTGGGCTGTGTGGAAGACTACAGGTGGAGGTGAAAGCACCTTCGGTCAGCAGGTTCTCTCCCTCACTTTTTCTGGGGTTCGCTTCAAAACAGCCTTTTTGTTCTCTTCCTTCCCTTGCCATCTACCTCATCCTTTCTTTTTTGGGAAGGTTTTAGGTTGCAAAGTGGGGAGGAGCTCTGTTGGGGAATGGGGGGAGAAGACCCTACTAATAAATTTTGAAAGCTGTCTTGGGCCATTTATGGGCTGCGTTTCATAGAGTGCATTAGGAGGAGTGTATTTTAACATTGCTCTTTCATGTGACTCTGCTTCTGTAAAAAACTGGGTGTCAGTAACACTGACACAAGTAGATTTTTTTTATGTTGATGTCATGAGCACCATCTGATGAATGTGGATCAGGAATGGAAGAAGAGTTCTTTTGCTGGTGTGGTGAGCTTTGATAGTTAGCACTCATTTCTTTTGGGGGTGGAGGGGCAGATATTTCCCCCTGCCCTTTTTTTTTTTTTGGTTTTGTTTTGTTTTCTTCCTCTGATGTCATCTCTTCCCTAGTGCTTGTGGAATGGGCAGCTGCTATTGTAATGACCACATCAGAGGGCAGGGGTCACTGGAGGACAACAGGAAAAGCTCAGATTTTCCTCTGGGTGCTGGGAGCTGTCAGCTAAGTTGCAGGAAAATTGCAGGCAAAAGGGGTTACCACAGTTATTTAAATAAGTTTTCCATGGTTGGTGTTTTAGCTCCTAATTAAGGCTTTCACAAAATCATTGCTGTGTGAACATACCTAACTTTGTTCAATAACAAGGATTACAGATGGAATAACAATATCCCAATTACATACATAGAAGCAGGTATACCACTGGCTTTTATGTGCTGTAGCATTCTTGCCAGCTAGGCATGTCTACAAGCCATAAATATAATGTTTTGAGACTAGGAGTGTTTTGGGGAGTGTTGAGTACATCTTTTCTAGGGCATAGTTTGGATGCTTGTAGAAGAATTTGAGTTGATGTCTGTCTCTGACTTTGGAAATTCATCCACGTGGGAAAATTGACCTCAGGTCTAATAACTGGCTGCTTGGTGAGGTCAGCTTCTCAGCACTGTACTTTAGTAGGCTTTTGTTCTTATTCCAAAGTTCCTCGAGACTTCTGTTTCCATCCCAAGTTATTTTCTCTTTGTATTATGTCAACACTGGGGGCCAAAACCAGAATTTGGGTGTTGGCATTCCAGGGAATGTCCAGGTACAAACTATCATAGAAAATAATGTTGAAAGAAGGGTCACCTGGTCTGTCATTTAGCCCCAAGGCTGTATGTGGCAAACTTAGGAGTACAGTCCTTGCCCTAAAAATCTCACAACTGTATGAGGGTCCAACAGTGATTATAACAAGTCAACAGAGTGGCAGACAGGGCACGTACAGGCTTACTCCATGCACAATTAAGTGGATTTGGATCCCATGAAAAGGAAACATGTCTGTAGTTATGATGAGAGCCCTCCCCACAGTGTCTTCACCTCAGTTTATATGTGTCAGCAAAACTGAGCCTTGAAGAGAATTGAAATGGGGCAGAGTATTAGCGGTCAGTCTGAGAAGGCTCTTCCTCATCTGTACCAGGTTGCTGGGGAAGGCAGAAAAGAGGTAGCCCAAGGAGAAGGCTATTCAGTATGCAAGAAATTTCAGCTTTCTGAGGAAATGAAGCACAGAGCCTGTTTTTCAAAAATCTCCACCAGATAGGAAAACAGAGTTTCACTGATTGGTAAAATCCCTCTGTTCCTCTCTGACTCTTATGTCTATAGTCTGGTTATCTTGGAGAGAGAAACTGTGTTCATCACCTAAAAGGTTAAATACAGGAGATAAGATATGGTTGATGGATCAGAGATAACTTTTCCAAATTATTTAGTCCCAGCGTAATGTCCTGGAATAATGCACAGGAACCCTGTAAAGAATGGCATCATACAGATGCCAAGTAAAACAGAGACTGACCACAGTTTTAAATGGTCCTGTGACCCTTTTGGCATGAGTCATGGAACTGGCCTGGGACCTCGGCCAAACTCCAGTTCAGATAGTCTTGTGAGTGCTGAGGTAGGATGATAAATGCAGTGAAAATAATCTGGAGTGCTTTGAAGGGAAAGATGCTGCATAAGCAGTCCCTGCTAATGTTTGGTCTGTTGCCTGTACTCTTGGTCCTTGCACCTGTTTTGAAGTTGGTTGTCATTTTACTCTGATTGATGTCTTTGCAGCCTTTGTAATATACAACTTTCTCAGCCTCTGTTATGAGTACTTGGGAGGCGAGAGCTCCATCATGTCTGAGATCAGAGGGAAACCAATTGAGTGAGTATTTATTGTGCTTACAGCATGACGCTCTCCTCCTTCTGTGCCCATCTACCATGCCTCTATCCCTGCCCCAAAAAACTGTGTCAGGTGGCAGATGTCTGCTGCGACTGGGCAGCATGGATGGTGATGATTTACCAGTACCCTGCTCTGAGACAGATCAGCCTGCTCACATCCTCTTAGGCAAGCTGGACTGATTCACAGCTTTTCTGGACACCTGCCTACTCCTTTGTTTCTTTTCTTATTCCCTTCTCCTCCTTTAAATCTTTTCTGTTTCCAGTTGGTTGTGTGTGCTTCCTCTAGGATCTGTGTTACTCCCCATGCTACTTAGTAAAAAAAAAAAAAAAAAAGAAAAAGATTGGAGTGTGGGGTCAGGATGTTATTTTAAACATGTCTCTGAAAGAGGGTATAGCTGTAACTGGTAACTGTGGTTGGAGAAAGCACCAGTCTTGCAACTTTGCTACAGAGAGGTAGACAAAGAGGGTAGGAATCTTGCACTCTAGCCCAAATCTTGCTTCTGAACCCTGTTGCCTTGTGTTGGCTCTTTCAGGTCCAGCTGTGTATATGGGACTTGCTGCCTGTGGGGAAAGACCTATTCAATTGGATTCCTGAGGTTCTGCAAACAGGTATGGGCTGGAGGAACTGTGCCATCCTCCAGAATTGAAGGAAGTGTGTGGGGGTGGCAATGGTGCCTTTTACTGCTGAGCTTCTGAGATGAGCACTCCTTTGAGGGGGTTTATAATAGCGTTTTGAGAGGCCTGCAGACTGCTGAGAAGAGGGGGTGTTTCAGGGTTGTTTTGTTTGTTTGTTTGGAATGATCTTAACATTTTCTACTCAACCCTGCTTCAGGAAGGCCCTAGCAAAAGACCCAACTGATCTCCTGGATCTGATGTTAGCCCTGGGAAGAAATTCTGATTTCCTCTTCCCTTTCTGGATTGCAGAGCTCCCAACTTTAAGAAATTGAATGGCTGTGTTGTGTTGCAGACACCCCACAGTTGTGTAACAGCCTCCTGAATTCCCAGTGCTGCTGTTGTGGTCTGGAGTTGAGGAGGGGGTGGAGGTTAAGTGTGACACAGTGCTTTGTAGGAGGAACTGAGTATTGCTCACCAAGTCTGTCTGTCTGTGGTGAATTGGGTATGTCGAGGGGGAGGGAATGGGGGAGATCTGAACCTTGATACAGCCCTTGTCTGCTCATCCCAGGTCAGTCACCTCTGGCTGCCATGAAACAGCAGGTGAGCGTCAAGGCTTTGCTCACTCGCTGAAATGAACACATGAGGTTTCTCTGGAGACAGCATGAAGCTGGTCTGGTTCTCTGAAAGGGCTCAGGTCATTGTAATTCCAGTTACTGGGTCTAGATATCTGCCCTGGCTTCTCTTCCACATCATGACCCATCTTCTGTGTTTTAGCAATATGCAGGAACATCAAAGGTACACTGCAGCCTCATAGTAATATCCAGTGTTAATCTCTGCAGCACAACTGGCCTTTTTCAAAGGACCACATCTTTTCTCTGTTGTGTTTGTCTCTGTCCCATATTCTGTCCTCATGGCTTCCTTGTTTTCTTCCCTGATACTTTATTTTCTAACCTGCTCCCAGTATGCTGCTTTGTCTGTTTCTCTTGGGCTTCATTTGTACACCCTTTGTTTGATCATTCTGGGTGGGGGGAGCAGTTCTGCTGCCTTCCACAAATCCTCAGCTCATTTGGTAACTCTGGCTTAGGCGGATATTTTGCTTTTCCTTTGCTGCTATCTGGCAGCAATTCTTCTGGTCAGGCCTGCCCTTTGCAAACTGCTAAGTCTGCTGAGGGAGGTGTCTTGCAAAGGGATGTTTAAATACTTCCGTCCTTCTTGGCTTGAGATTAAATGCTGCCTTCGTGAGAAATCTTTGACACCAACACTCACTTTCTGGTACTTTTAGACTTCCGGGATTGCCGAGTAAGACCTTTCAAGGCAAATTCCTGGGAAGGCTGGTGCAAAAGGGCAACAGAACACATCTCAATGCTGATCTGTGCAGTATCCACCATCATGATGATCAGGAAGAGGAATGTGCTGGAAGGAGCACCTTGCCCATTTTATCCCCATTCTCAGCACTCCAGCACTCCTGTTAACTCCCACCATCACCTGCCTATTTTATGCTCTTTCCATTCCCTTTCATCCTGAAAGAATCTGTGTTATAACCATTCCTTCTTTCCATCTTCACCCCCACGCCAAACTGTTCTCAGGCTGGTGCCTGCTGTGGGTCAGTCAGTCCACCTGCATTGCCTGTGACCCTCCAGCAGTCAGGTGGTGTGGTGGTTGCTGCGGTGTAAAATCTGGACAGCTTATTTTCTTAAAGATGTCTTGATCAAGATTCTTTGCTGGGTCTGTGTCTGGTGACCATCACAGATGGGTCACACACCATCTATGTGCTTCCCGTATGCTGTAGCATCTTCTAGGGAAGCAACTAAAAATAGGATGTGGTGGTTTGGATTGCAGGGAAATGGTTAAAACACCCCCAGATTGAAAGGAGGGGAAGCTCAGAGGACAGAGTTGTTTACCAATTAGTTTGACCTTTTCCAGTTCACATATTTACAATGACTCACTAACTGGCATGTGCTGGGGTTTTTAATCTCCTTGAAGTCTTATGACCACTAACAAATTGCATCGTATCCAAAGCAATTATTCCTGTTTGGTTTTGCCTTCTTTCCATACACAGCCCTTACCACGTGTGCACAGGTCAGCACCTGCCCGGGCTCTTCCAGCCTCTTTCAGGGAGACACGAGTGACATTTTTAGGGTCGTAACCCTCTACTCTCTTAGGACCTTGAAGTTCAACATCTCCAGAAAGATTAAGAATGGGGTGGCTTTGACAGGAGTCGTCCCAATATATGCTGGCAGAATGGATAGAGCTGATCCCAAGTGCCACAGAGCCTTTAGGGAGGTTCAGTAAAGGTCGTGTGGGTGACAACAGAATAGCTTTTAACTTTGGTCTTGCAACACACGTTGTGTATACAAAATGCCTTAATATGGTGGCAGTTGTCAGAGTTCTTCCTCAGAGAGCTGGGTTCCCCTCCTATCCAGGCGACCTTCTTGCCTAGCTTTATGGCAACTGTGGATTGGAGTTTGCTTCCCTTCCCCAGTATTGCTTTGTTAAACTTGCTGTGTCCGTATCATAGCACAGTGTGGGATTTTTTGGTTTTCATGCTGTTACCATGCATAAATGTGCTGCAGCACAGCCTATGAAAAACAGCTCTGGAAGAGAGGAGCTTAGCAGCTTCTAGGAGCAACCTACAGAGAGGTTTTTCTTTCCATTCTGGACAAGTTGATAGCACACGTACTCCTTCTGAATCTCCTTTATCTCCTTTTGGGTGCTGTAGTCCTCAAGCACAATCAGTTAACAAGTGGCAGGGTCAGACTCCTTGTTGACGCTGGATTGTGTTGCCTTGCTGAGTTGTCCCAGTGGACACTCGTCGTGGTGCTGGTTTGGGAACTTGGCCTCTTGCACCTCCTGCCTTCTCATTCCTCCTCTCTCATTCCTGTAGGCTACCCTGCAGTTCTGTGTGGTGAAGCCCCTCATGGCGATCAGCACAGTCATCCTTCAGGCCTTCGGCAAGTACCAGGATGGTGACTTTGAGTAAGTTTGTTTGTCTAGCATGCGAGCCTTGGCTGGCCCTTCTCTGCTCAGCTGTGCTTATTGTCAGTGTGTGTGCTGGGCCATGGGCAAAGGCAGGGGGACAACAGGGGCTGAATATGCACATCAGAAAAGAGGGCAGGGGTAAGCCTGTTGGTTTCAGGTTTTTTTCTACCTCAGTTTGGGGGAGGGAATGGGACAGGGAGGCAGGAAGGAAACAGAGTCTTAGGACTCCCCAGTGACAGCAGCAAGGGGAAAAGATCATGCTGAAATTTCAAGCATTCATATATCTTCTCTTTCCAGTGTAACCAGCGGCTACCTCTACGTGACGATCATCTACAACATCTCTGTCAGCCTGGCACTGTATGCCCTCTTCCTTTTCTACTTTGCCACACGTGAGCTGCTCAGTCCCTATAGCCCAGTCCTCAAGTTCTTCATGGTGAAGTCTGTCATCTTCCTGTCCTTCTGGCAAGGTGAGCTGCTTTTCCTGTCCCTTGATAGGCACAAAGGGCTCTCTGCAGGGACTTGGACACTAGAGTTGATAGAGTAGATGCTGATTAATAGCCAGAATGTCTTTCTGTATTATTATTATATTTGTTTTATAGTCTTCCATTGCTTTTCTCTGGGAAACCTGTTTTTCTCATTTTCATCTTTGTTTCTATGCTCCTGAATCCTCACTATTCCTGTGCATATGCACATGCATATCTTCCTGGCAAAATGAGCTGTTTGGATGAAGAGTCCTTTGCATTCCTGGAACAATCACAAAGCACAAGCTGCCAACATTTTTATCTGCATGCTGCCATTTTATTGATTAAAGTGGCACATCTAAAAATTTTCAGTACTTTTTTTTTAGTGCTCTATAAATAAAATTTTAATGGTGTGTCTGTGATTCATGTGAAGCAGCAAGCTGGCTGAATGCAGTCTGTGCTGCCACAGAACCACCACCGAGCGGAAGGACATTCAGAATACATACCCGTGATGCAGAAGCACATTCAGAAAGCTGAAATTCCACCTAAGCTTAGTGCTTCTTACTAATTGGCTCTAAGCATTTCCCTATTCAATGCCCTACTTAAGTTTACCAAGTTGCACTTCAAAGACTAATTGAGTAGGAACTTAGGTGGAATTTAGGCTGTTGGAGTATGGCCCATCCTCCCTGTCTACAGACAAACTAATAAGCTGTCTATTTTATCATCTTGAGCCATCTGGTCACACACTCTCTGCCGTCTCTGGAATTCTTCAGCCACCTGACTCTGGACAGGGAGAAATATCTGTCTTGCAATGGTGTGTCAAAACCACTTTATGCTTAAATGAAAAGCTCTGTTACCTCAATTTTTGCTCTAGTTAGTGGAAGTGCTGAGATGACAGAAGTACTCGCAGAAATACCTGACTGCTGCTTACCCTTTTGGACTTGATTAAGTCCTGCAACAGCTAGTTCCACAGATTATGCGTCAGCTGAGAATAGAAGAGGGTCAGTGTTTGAACATTCTTTGCTTAAACATGTTTGCCTCATTTATTCCTCCTTTCTCTGTTGTACAGGTGAGCGTAGGTGGGAGTATCTACCCCTAGTTTGTAGCTCCTGCATTAAATGGGTTTGCATCTAGGACATACAGCACAGACAGCTATTTCCATTCCTTACAGTCAGTATCCGATCAGGTTTTCTGCACATTTACGTGAGTTTGTTGCTTTGTTTAGGGATGCTGTTGGCCATCTTGGAAAAGTGTGGTGCCATCCCCAAAATCCACTCTGCCAATGTGTCTGTGGGTGAAGGCACTGTAGCTGCTGGATATCAGGACTTCATCATTTGCGTGGAGATGTTCTTTGCAGCCATTGCCCTACGCCATGCCTTCACATACAAGGTGTATGTGGACAAGAGACTTGATGCCCAAGGTAGGAAATAAGCCAGCACAAATGGCATGTCTCTTTGGTAGCGAGACTGGGTGGAGACTGGTCCCTCTAGCAACCAACACACTGATATGACTCCCAACCTGAGTGCCTGGAAAAACATCACATCCCCTCCTCCGTGGTGTCTGAACAGATTAATTGTGCAACAGCTCTGCAGGGTAGAAACCTTGCCTAAATTGCGTTGTTCCCTTTTCAGTTCCCCAGTATGCCACCCACGAGAGCTTGTTGCAGACCTGAGGGCTGCAAGAAGTTGCATCCTTTTGGTAGAGTGGGTTTGTCCTTCTTCCTGTCTCCCCAAAGGGGAACTCCGTTGCTCCAGATTGTGCAACAGACTGAAGGCAGGAGGGACAGGGCCTGAAACAGGCTCTGTTTTGAATCTGGCTCAGGAAGATGAGGCTGTGCTTTGGCAATACGTTTGGCTTGAAGGAGGAGGATCTTCCTGTGATGAATTTGTGAGGGCTGGGCTGCTAGAAATCTTATTCCAGGGAAGAGGGAGGTGGATGTTATCCCTGGGAAAAAGGGGTTCTTGTGCACAGTCTATGCAAGTACATTCAGTGTTCTCCAAATAAAGGGGTTCCTTCCTGCTGGAGGGAGTCTGTGCTGAGGTGTGGGAAGACAGCAGCCCTTGGGTAGTATTCATGTAGATGATCCCTCCATCCCAGTGAGCCCCAGAGGTTCTGGAAGGACAGTGGCTGGAGCTGGGGGAGATGAGATCTGTGGATGATGAAAGGGTAAACTGCTGGCCAGTACAGTGGGGGATGTTTCGGTGGTGGGTCTTGTTCAGTTCTTGTCATTTCCTCTCTCTCTCTCTCTTTTCTTTCTCTGCCTCTCCTCTCCTTTTTATCTCTCCCTTGCTTTGGCCACTGGTCCCTGATGCAGCTGTTCCATCATATGGGCCATACGGTAGGTACAGCATGCTCTGTATGTTTGTCTCTGTTGGTTTTTAATTGGGATGCTGTTCTGTCCTGATACCCAGCCTGCCTACTGCCTGCTCTATTCCTTGTTCCCTCATCCTTGTAGGTCTGTAACTTGACTGCCTCACACAGCTGCTTTAGGGTTGTCTGGATCATAAGTTGTAAAACAGCCCTGTGGGCAGTGGCATAACATCTAGCTTTAGAGCATTTCCATCGGAACTGTGCAAATCTCTCTCCAAAGAGTTGCACAGGCTCTCAAAGGAGCCGGTTTGCTCTCTCACCCCAGCCTCCCTTCACTTTCATAATTGCCACAGATGATCAGCATGTTTTGGTCGTCTGGGGAGCTCATCCCCAGGACTGAGCAGAGCCAGAAGCTCCATGCTGGAAACGGGTCCTAGAAGCCATGAGAAATGGTGGCTCCTAGAAGGACACATAGCCTTTCTCTGTGCTCAGCACTTGGGTGGGACAATCTCTAACTGTTGCTTCCTTCACGGTATCACTGTGACACCCTCCACCCGTGGGGTGCTTCTGCCTCTAGTACTGCCTGCTCCCCTCCTTTCCCTCCTTTGCACTGCTTTCCACTTTTATGATCTCTTTCCTGTGGGCACTTTGATACTGCCTATCAGTCTAATTTCCAGTGAGTGGGAATGGCAAGTGCCATTTCTCCTATATTTTTAGAATTTCCTTAGTTTTTGTCTTCTGAAACCCTTTACAGGAGCTCCTCCCTACCTGACTGTCTTCGTTGCACACCCAAGCCAGCACAGGTAGTGTGTAGTGGAGGTTGTCGCTGTGGGTATGTCCGATTCTCATGGCATGTCCCCCATTTGGTGCTGAGGTGGATTCACTTGGCTAGCAGTGGCTGGATTTAGGAGCACTACTGGTAAATTCGACACCATTTGTGTGGCATTTCCTCAGCAGCTGCTTAAGGAAGTCTGTAAAGTAACTTCTGCGGGATCTAGGAGTGCATGTTCCCTGTTCTCCTTACCTTTATGTTAAGGGGTGTGGGGGAAGGCAGCAGTATTCTTCACTTGTCCCTCCCTGTCTTACCCCAACAGGTCGCTGTGCTCCCATGAAGAGCATCTCCAGCAGCCTCAAGGAGACCATGAACCCCCATGACATTGTCCAAGATGCGATCCACAACTTCTCCCCAGCCTACCAGCAGTACACCCAGCAGTCAACGCTGGAGCATGGTCCACCCTGGCGCAACGGCAGTCACGTTATCTCGCGCTCCCACAGCTGCTCGGGTGGCCGCGACAACGAGAAGACCCTCTTGCTGAGCTCTGATGATGAATTCTAGGAGGGGAAACTGCCAGCACAGGCTGTCATTTTCCTTCGTTTGTTGTTTTTTATTTTTTTTAATTTATTGAAGCAGAAACATGCAAGTCATATCACTTCCTAGAGAGTGCAGATTGCAGAAGTGGGCACTTCCTAGCTTTTGTGGGTACGGACATGATGAGCAGTGTGGAGGTGGGGGAATGGCCAGGACTCCATTCTCGAGCCCATTCCTTACAGCAGCAGTCGACTGGAATTAATTGAAGCAAAGCTCCAGGGTTTGGGGCTCTGGCCTCCCACACCTACCCAGCTTGGTGTGGAGCGTGACTGGTCAGGGCCTGGAGTTGTGGCCAAAAGTGTTGGTTTTTGTCTTTTTCTTTTTTTCCAACCGGACAATGTGACTGCTTTGTATTCCTCTTCCTGAACGTTTGTTGTAGGCAGTTTTCTTCCCCAGCTCCCTGGTACTAACATCTCTGTGATATGTGGGAAATGGGATTAGGATGCAGCGATAAGCATTCCTGAGGACCAGACCAGAGACTGGTCTCTCTATAGCCATTGCTTTGAATACTTAGTAAGGAGCATCTGCCGCCACCCTCCTAAGCACCTGGTTGTGCAGTCCTGTATTTGAGTGAGTGAGGGGGAAAAGGACAGGACTTTCTTCCTGTTCCTCTGCTCCCTGCATCCCCCCTGCTCCCCATCAAAGCTGATGCTTGCTGAAGCTCAGCAGGGATGGAATTACTGTCTCACAAGGGCAGGGTTTTCTAATCACCAGGTGTCCAAACTTCACATCTCCCCTGCGTTCCTGTGGCAAGAAGCCTCCCTGGAGTGTCTGTCTTGTGCTAACAAGACTGAGGACTGGCCGTGATAGGTGGTGGAAGTCTGTAGCGCTCTGGCCCTTTCATCCCTCTTTGGGAAAGGAAGATATGTAAACACTAAAACGTTTTTTCTTCTTGTTTCCTGTCACCCACTGACATAGCTGCCCCTCTTAAAGGTGTGGATTGCACGAGGTAGCTGCCAGAACAGGTCCTGGTCTCTCGCAGGTAGCTCTCCTCATGCTTGTCATCACTGACTTCCTCTGCGAGCTGCACAAGTTTTTCCCTTAGGCTGGAGTATTCAGGAAGGCATGTTGCACACTCCTTTGCTTTTTTATGTCCGTAGCTGTTCTGGGCTAAACTGGAGCAGAGTTGAAACCTGACATGACCTGGCTGGTTAAAATTGTCCCTCTTAGTTTCCCAGGCAGCAGTTGCTGCTGCTGCACATTTTACAGGCTGTGCAGCAACTGCAGTGCTATCAAGGGTGGAGCCAGCATCCATGGGAGTGGGAAAAGAAGCTTCCCCATGCTTTTGTTGGGTTTTTGGATTGCCCCCTAGGTATTTAGTGGAACCAAAATAAAAATGATCCCTCTGTAGATCTGTCCAGGGACCAGGAAAAGCTTCTTGCTTGCTTAAAACAGTCTAGGGGAGGACCGGGAAGCACACTCAAGTGCCACGGATCAGATGCCCCTAGCCCCAAGCAGGAAGCAAAATGGAGAGGTTGGAGCAAGCTGCTCTGTTCTTGGCTGTAGTTTCTCTGTTCCTCTCCCGCTTGATGCTTACCCTGCCATCAGCAGACCTGAGTGTTTCCAGATTGCTCTCCTTGCTCTGCTAGGAGAACTGGGGTCTGGTTTACTGCCTGGAGTTTACCTTTCCTCATGTATCCTAATCTACGTGCTTGCTCATTCACTTTCTCAGAAGCGACTGGGAGCGAAGAGCACCTCATTTCCTCAGCACCCCTGCCAGAAGCCTGTGGTCGTGAGCCGGAGGAAAAGGGCTTGAAGAGAGGGCAGGTTTGCTCCATGCTGTGAGGATGAGATAGGGGAATAAGGACAGCGTCTCCTTCTGTACTCGCGTGTCTGGGTGGACGGTGAAGGAGGTGGGAGCAACAGTGCTGACTCTTGAGGGAGCTGGAGGGTCAGCGGATCCAGCAGCTTCTCTGCTGCTGGATTTCCCCATTTGCACACATCCTGTGATGCCATGCAGTTAGTTACTGCTTTTCCTAAATCTGTCGCTGCTTAAATGAACATGCAAACGCTATCTGCCAGGCTTTGTGTGGGCTTGGTGTAAAACTCCTTTTCCTCATGCCATAAGCCGCCTGGAAAGCAGGGCTGAAGACTGAATGGGCTTTCCTTCCATCTTCCATGGCTTTGATGAATAGTCCTTTAGTGTGAGGTATTTGTGTTAAACTTCCCCTCTCTCTTAGGAAAGCGGGGCATGGGATGTGATCCCTTCCTCCCCTTTCCTTGCATTTGCAGGTCTTGATGATGTCCTGGTGTCACTTAATTGGTAATCTTCATTGTGTTGGGTGGCCGAGACCTGCAATCTCTGGGATTGCCCTGTTGAGCTTGAAGGTGATCTAGGCTTGGGGAAGCATTTTCTTAAAATTATTTTGAAATGTATGCTGCATATATATGCTGTGCAGAGGATCTGGATATTCTCAAAGCTTCCTGTATGTAGTGGTTTCAAGTATAACCCTTTTGCACTAGCTGCCTTTGGAGAAGCCTGGTGAAGAACTAGTGCCCGAACAACAGCCAGCTGCCATGCATTATAATTTTATATACGTATATATTTTTTAACACCACACAAAATCATCTCTGAGCTTCCTGCTGTCCCTCACGACAGGCAAGTGCCAGAGCAAGGACTGGCTCTGAAGCTGCTCTGGCTTGGAGAAACAAATATCTTATAAGACCCAGAGCTTGAGACCAAGGAGGCCAAGGCATCTGTGGTCTTGCAGGTCTGCTTGCGGTAGCCCAGGGCCCCAAAAAATGTGTTGGTTCCAGGAGTAGGCCCTTGGAGCTGCTCTTCCTCACCTGCTTCCCCTCTCCTTCCTTCCTTCCTTTTTGTTTACCATGTAACATACCCATGGGATTTGTTTATTATTTTTCCATATAGAGTAGTTCTTTGTATATAAATGACTGAAAAAAAAATGTATGATAAATAAGACAGAGTCACCTAGTTTTGTACCTATCGTGTTTAACTGATGTGAGCTCAGCGACAAGCCGCTCTCTCTATTTTGGTCTTTGTGACGTTATACTCTGCAGAAATGAGCAAATATGATGACAAATAAAAATATAGAGATAATATAGATTGTACTTAACCTGCCTCTGCGTGGTGCTGTCTGGGTGACTTCTCTGAACTGATCTTGAGTTTTTGGTCATTGCAGGGGCTGGGGCTTAGTGGGTCAGTATGTCTTGTCCTCCTAGTCCTCTTCTCAGGAAGAAAGCTTCATGCTGTCTGTGTATGCGGGAGCTGCTGGAGAAGCAGCACTACAGCAACCTGGGGCTGAGACATCACTGATGGCCCAAGGCAGGAGTGAAACCCATTTGTCAAAAACCTGGAGTAGAGATAAGTCCTGATCTTGGGTGCTCAGTGTGAAACACCTGTGGGAGAAAAGGGGCTGCTTTCTCTGACATGGGCCCCAGCAAACAGCAGCTCTGGGCTTTTCTTCCATGAGTGGTGGTGAGGCTGGGGCAGTTTGCAGAGACAGAAGGAATGTGAACGTAAAACCCAGAAGCACCATGCGAGTGCTGCAAGCTGCTGGGAGGCTGGGACCTGGCTCGCCTGGGCGTCAGGGGAACATGCTCATCGCTTCCACCTTGGCTCTGAGGAAGGGTAGCTTTTCTCCATGGAGAAGGAGGTCAGGCTTCACCTCCGGGTAAGGCGCCTGCCACGCTTCCTTCCCCTTCTCCTGCCACCCACGGATGTGAGCTGCCTGCCATCCTCCTCGCTGTTCCTGAGTCAGGCGGTGAGGTCACACAGCAGGGAAGTTTTTGGGTAGAGCTGCCCTGATTGCACCTGCCTCTCCTCCTGCACCAGGTCTGAGGGCAGCCTGGAGGGAATTTTTCTAGTGAAAAGCATTATCTTTCCTAGGAAAAAATGATTCAGCACAGCTTGAACTGCTGCTGAAAGCAAGTGCCTTGGGGGGTGATATTCATCCTTAAGCTTGCTTACTGAGCCCTTTTCTTCCAGAGACTATAAATCTGTGTGTGTTCTAAAGGGTTGTGAGCTGTCCCCCATCCCATCATTTTTGGGCATGTTGTTTAACATGTCCTGCAGCAAAGCTAGAAAACCTGGTCTCACCAAGACGCAGCTCTGTCCTGAAGTTCAAGAATGACCAAACACACTCTCGCTGTGGAAAAAAAAGAACTTGTTTTATTTGTAAAGTCTACAAAATACAGAGGAGTCAGGTAGGACACATACTGTAAGTCAGAAAATAAATAAGTATTTTTTTGCTCTATATAAGATAAAATGTGATTTGCATATATAAAATATAAAGTACGGCTCTGTACCAACATCCTGGCTGTGCCGAGAGGCGGAATGGCAAAGAGGACGTGAAAATAACTTACGTTCGTGCAATAAATAAACCCAAGAGGAGTTGGGGTGGGGGGGATGCTAACCACAGTGCCTCCTCCACAATCGGTGGGCACCTCTCTCTGGGGAGGGATGATGGAGGCTGCAGCCAAGGGCAGCTAGCATGGCAATACCCAGGCAGGGGCAGAAAGGGAGAGGGGTGGGGGGGATCATCTATGGCAGCAGATGCCAAGGGTCTGCCTCCTGTTACTTCCCCTGGGCTGCCTGTATTTAGCAAACCCAACTCTTCTCTAGCATTTCAGCCTGCTGAAGAGCCGGTTGTCCCACACAGGTTGTCCAAGCTGGCAGAAAACCAAAAGGAGGAGCCTACCTGCCTGCCAGACAGCTCCCAGGAGCAGGGATGCTCTCCACCCCTGCTTCCCACCTCCTGCACCTCCACCCCTCTCTCTGCCTCCGCAGCTCTGGCTCTCAGGGGCCAGGAGCACCTTTCTGTGGGCTTTGTAGGTGGTGGGGTGCCGGGGAGCATTTGGTGGGGCTGTAAGAGCCGGCCTGCACTGAGCAAAACAGTGTTTATCTCTGCTCCAGCTGCCTCCGCTTCCTTCCTGCCGCTGCGTTTCAGAGACACCCGGCCAGCCAGGCTGAGCGTCCCGTCCTGTAGGCAGGAAGAGGCGTGAAGGATGTCGTGATGGAGACAGATAAAACGGCACCACTGCTTCTCCCCCTTTGTGGATAACAGCCTGGGTTGACCTGCTTCCCTGCCTGAGGGAGTCCTCCTCCATCACCGTCACCTCTGGCCTTCCCCAGCACCACAGGCTGCCACAGCACTTTCCCCTTCCATTCACCCTTACCAGGCACCAACCTACAGCCACTTTCTCTTCCCCCTCTGACCTGCCACCTTCCCTTGCCATCTCCATCCCTGGAGTCTCCAACCATGCTGCAACCTCCCACCCTGCTCCAGCCGTGGAGCAAGTTGTGGGGCCAACGCTGACACCGCTCTCCATCTTATCCCTTCTGCCCCTTGCTGCAAAACCACTCTTCCCTCCTTTCCCTCCCTGGCATGTGCTCCTGGGGGTGCCTGGCCCATGCTCAGCTCTCCCATGCCCTCCCCCAAAAAAAGAGGCACCTGGTGTTTTCCTGCCAGCTTGGAGCCCTGGGACGCTTCCCCCTCTCCTGCCTGCACCCCCCAAGGTGAGGGGTGCCCGGCCAGGTGGGCTGCAGCAGGGGACAGGGCTGGGTTGGAGGGGAGGGGGCTGCGGGGCGTCAGGGGCCACCAGAGGGGTCCTGTCCTCTGCCCCAGCACCCATGCTGCAGCAGCCCTCCCTGCGTGGGGGAGCTGGAGGTCAATGGATGGGAGAAGGAGGATTTCGGGAATGGGTCCCGGCAGGGAGGAGGTCAGGGAGGGTATGGGAGGTAATTCGTGGGGGAAGGCGCCCCGGAGGGGCCGTGCCCAGCCGGGGGACGGAGGCCAGCACTAGGAGTAGGCGGCCTGGTTGGTGCCGGACTTGACGATGGTGATGACGCTGGCGGTGGCCACCTTGGCGGGGGGCCCGTGGGCAGCCACGGTGCGGGCGAAGCCCTGCAGGGCCTCGTACTTGCCACGGAGGGTGTCGAGCTCCAGGCGCATGGCGGCGTTCTCCCGGGCCAGCTTGTCCACCTCCCACTCCAGCTCCATCTTCTGCTTCTGCAGCTCTTCTTTCTGGCAGACGCGCTTCACCCGGCAGCTGGCAGCGTAACCCCGATTCTTCAGCGTCCGCCGGCGCTGCTTCAGCCTCGCCACCTCCTCTTTGGAGAGGCCCCGCAGGTGGTGGTTGAGCTCCCGCACCGACAGCCCCATCAGCTCCACGTCCGACAGCAGCGGTGTGTTCTCTCCCAGCTCCTGCTTCACCTGCTGGAGAGAGGGGTGGTCGCCTGAGACCCCTGAAACCAGACCCCCGCCCTCCTCACGCCCCCCAGTCCCACCAGTGCTCACCTTCAGGGCCTTGCTGGAGAGCCCGTCCGCAGCCATCCTTGCCTCACGTTGGCCCTGCCGAGCAGCCAGGAGAAAAGCCGGTTAGCCCCAGCCTGTGCCCCTCGCCCTGGTACCGAGGGCACCGGCCCCCTGCCTGGCACCCATGTGTCGTCCCCCCCCGCCAGCCATCTGACTTATCCCTGCTCCTTTAAAAAAAAAGCAGGTAGGAATAATAATGATAATAATAGTAACAATGACTGCAAAAAATAACAATAACGGGGAAGGCTGGACTTCCCATCCCTCCTCCATCCCACCCCGAGGTGGTCGGGATGCTGCTCTGCCCGGGGGACCCAAACCCCCCCTGGGAGGCCAAGGCTTCCCTCCGGGGAGGAAACCCGGGCGAGATCCGCCCGAGGCTAAAAAGAAAGTAAAAGCAGCAGCTCCACGGCG